CAAACTTCCATTTAATGTCATTCCATTTAAAATCGTTTTGTCGAAATCTTTACATTTAAGGTGACATTTCTTTTCTGTCTTTGGTTATGATTATCCTTTATCATTTCTGTTCGCATTTGTTTCTTGTCATCGCCGGATTCAACTCTTTGCGGCCTATCTAATTCCCTGTCCAACCTTGTAATCCGTGTTTATTGCCTTCTCATTATATCTCGTAATCTCTATTATATGAAAAAAGAAATAGAAAATGAAAACGCTGGACATGATGAAACAACGACTCTGTTTGCCTTCTTTCCTTCCTTTGGAAACCCCAGCAAAAAAGCTGGTCGTGACGTCACTTCGCTGGAAGTATAAAGGCAGGTCCCGGTGTTCGAATGGACACTTGAGGTCTAAGCCAATCTTGGAGATGAATGCTAAGGTAACTCGCGTCGGAGGCTGGATGCTGATCAGTTCGCTCTCTGTGCTCTGTATAATACGTAAGAAGAACAATTTCAGTGAACAGGTGTTATCATCATGCTTTTCAGGTGTTGCTGGTGCTGGGCGTGGTGGGCTGTGCTGCGGCCGACAGACGACCGACGTATTCGTACAATGAACCCGTGAGGAAACTTGCTTTACTTTATTACAGTTGAGTTTATGAGATGCTATTTTTTTATGGCCGGTTTATTTACTTTAAAACGAAATCGAAACATTGCAGGACTCGTTCGAGTACTCAGCCGAATCGAGCGAAGCCAAGTACGACTTCAGATACGCCGTGAAGGACGACTACTCAGGCAACGACTTCGGACACCAGGAGTCCCGCGACGGCGACCGCACTCAGGGGTCCTACTACGTGCAGCTCCCCGACGGCCGCCTGCAGAAGGTCACCTACTACGTGGACGGCGACTCCGGCTACGTGGCCGAGGTCAGCTACGAGGGCGAGGCTCGCTACGACTCAGCTGAGTCTCGAGAGTACGGCCGGCCCGTGTACTCTCCGCCGAGACCCGTGTACTCCCAGCCAAGGCGTGTGTACTCTTCTCCTGAGTCGGAGGAATCCTTGGAGATTCCCGTGTACTCTTCGGCCAGACCTTTTTACGGGCCTCCAAGACCAACTTACGGCTGAGAGCATCGGTAGTTCCATTCGGGCTTTATACGATGCAGAAGATGGAGATGGAGAATTTGCGTCGATAAAGCGGATTTTTATTATCACACAATATTATAATTACATTTGTTCATGGATACCATTCCAAACCAAACACTTCATGTAAAAAACGAATATATGAAATGTAATCGTATTTTATTTATTGCTTTTCTTAGTAAAATATATTATATGTATCTTAAATCTTTAAAATATCTTATGTATATCTTTAATCTTTAAAAGTATCTTATATTATATATATCTATAATCTTCAAAAGTATCGTACATCATATGTATCTTTATTCTTTAAAAGCATCTCATATTATATGTATATTTTATTTTTAAAGGTATTTTATTATCTTAAATCTTTATATGAATCTTTAATGCTTACTATTTTTATACCAAACACAACTTTTCTAAATTCATTATTGCATACGTTTAGTTGATGAAACTCGATCCCGGCAGAATTCAGATAATTGAAAGGCATTCTGTTAACAAGAGTGTCACGATAATTACAGTTAACGTAACTGTTTATAGATAAATGTAAACACTAACGAACGAGAGGTGTGACTGCTAAATGGAAGCGTAGGTGGTGGTTATGCTTGTTCGCCTGTGCAAATATCCCCGCGCTTGAGAAATTAGCAAGGCTGCTATTGGTTGCAGCAGGCGTCTTAGGCCTAACGTGCAGCAAGGTGAGGAGATCGCTGTTCACCACCGGCCTGAAAAGGACATGCTCTCGACCCTTGTTTGTCCCCCATTTTCTCTATTACGGCGTAGGCGGCTTCCTCGAGTGACCGTGGCATTCGGTGTCAGTTGTCTGACCCATGCCGCCTTATGCACCTCTTAGTGTTGAAACCGAGGAGGTGTTAGGTGTTACACACGAGGTCTGGAAAACGTAGCTCGTGCTACCACTATTCACCGTCAAGCACGTCGTCCAGGTGGGCGTTTACGCAAAACTAAACTGCTACAACAAAGTATATTAGTTACTACGAAAGTGACAAAAGGTTTTTCAGGATTCTTTTTTCCAGAGTTCTGCTGGGATTTATATATTTAAAAAGATATAGTAGATTTCTTTGGTGTATCGTAAAACGCTAAAGAGAAACCTCTACATTTATTAAAAAAAGAAAAGAAGAAAAGAAAAACAACAAGACGAAGCATAAATGTGAACGCAATAATAATAACTTAGAACGAAAAAAGGGCATAAAAAACAATGAAATTAATCATAAAATGAATACAAATAAGCCTAGAACGAATTTTGAAATAACACAAATGAAACTAAAATACTAAATATGTACAATGCATTTTCTTTAAGTTTCTGTGGCCAATAAACGAACGCGCTACTTAACTTTTACAGGCTTGGTAGGTCTCTTTACTCCCCTAAATCATCTGCCTCTGACACAAAGTCAAAAGCGATGAAAACAAATCTGGCGACTGCACAGCTTTAATTCTAATTTCACATGTTAATTTCTGGTATCATCTTCTTGTATGACCTATTTTGCTATTTAGAGTATTTGTAAAAATAGTGTAAAAAGTGTAAACAAAGCCCCGGGCCGCTCGGGAGGAGAGCACCTGTTGCGAAGGCTTGTTGGTAGTTATTAAAAAGTATATTTACATTTACTTATTGCATTGTCTCTGGTCTCTTATTACTTTTACACAGCTTTATCTACAGTACAAATACATTTATTTTAAAAACCTGTGTAGAATTGCTTCGATCTGTCGGCGTATCTCATTTCTATAGGTTATACATGATTATAATCAAAACATTAATATAAATAATAATCATAATGATAATTACCAATGGAAATTGTGACTATCATTTATTATTATTATCATTACTCTTATGATTGTCACTATCGTAATCATATCTTATTATATCAACTACGTGGAAAATAGTAATACTTAGTATAGGAGCTTTATTCGCAGGATCTTGATGCATAACAGTATGTATACACAATTCGAATGGTTTGTTCTGGCTTTGACTCTGTACTTCCACGTGTTTATTCATCCTGTCTGCTTTTTGACAATCTCAAAAATACTTGTAGTATATTTATCTTCATGTGAATGCTTGTTTTCTTAGAATACCTTTAATGTACTCCAAAATTGCCACAATAAGTAAAAAAAAAAAAAAAAAAACAAACAAAAAAAAAAAACAAAAAAAATGTATTTGGCCCACTTTACTATTCGCGCATTCGCGTGTTAACGAGCTGAATGGAACGAGATAACTTGAAATATTCTAATTGCAACAGAAATTACAAGAGAAGGACGCTTCAGATAAAGCCTTTAGTGTTTATTACCATTTAAATTACAATAAGTTCCCTTCCTTACTACTTTTGGAAGGTTATCAGTCAGTTTATTTCATGTCTTTCCTTCTATACAGATTTTGCCATTATAATTATCAGATTTTAAAAATAGTATCCTGAAATTATGGACAAACTGTTCGTAATTACATATGTGATAATATTCACACAAAATAAACATGATTTTACATTAACCCTGCATGCACAACTCGAATGTGAATCAAAAAAAGAGAAGAAGAAAAAAAAAGCAACAATTAATCTGTACTAATCGATCGTTTCCCTCAGACGCCAGGCAATGTTATTTTTCGGATCGAATTAATTTTCCCTCTGAAGTCTCCTCGACTTTTCGGACACAAGGCTACTTATCCGAGCACACACACACACACACATATCGATTAACCTATTGCTTATTAGCGTCATGGTGAAATAGTGACTCCGTTTGGCTTCTTTCCTTCCTTTGGAAACCCAAGCAAAAAAGCTGGTCGTGACGTCACTTCGCTGGAAGTATAAAAGCAGGTCCCGGTGTTCGAATGGACACTCGAGGTCTAATCTTTGAGATGAATGCTAAGGTAACTCTCTCTTTCCTCTCCTTTTTCAACCTCCCCCCCCCTCTCTCTCTCTCTCTCTCTCTCTCACTCTCTCTCTCTTCTCCGATAAATAGCAATAATAGCATAATAATTATCATAACTGCAATAATGATGATAATAATAATGATAATCATGATGATAATGACTATAATGATATAATCATAAAAATAATGACTAATGATAGTGATGATAATAATTATTATTCAGTCTATCGCTTCGGAGTCTGGAGGCTGACCATGTTAGGTGTTATTTTGTAGATATGTAGGTATGCCATCAACACCTATATAATGATTATCATGTTTCTCAGGTGTTGCTGGTCCTGGGCGTGGTGGGCTGTGCTGCTGCAGACAGACGACCGACGTATTCGTACAATGAACCCGTGAGGAAACTTGCTTTACTTTTATAGAGTTCATTAAGTTTTTTTTTTCTTATGGCATTTATTTTAAATCTTCAAAAACATTGCAGGACTCGTTCGAATATTCAGCCGAATCGAGCGAAGCCAAGTACGACTTCAGATATGCCGTGAAGGACGACTACTCAGGCAACGACTTCGGACACCAGGAGTCCCGCGACGGCGACCGCACTCAGGGGTCCTACTACGTGCAGCTCCCCGACGGCCGCCTGCAGAAGGTCACCTACTACGTGGACGGCGACTCCGGCTACGTGGCCGAGGTCAGCTACGAGGGCGAGGCTCGCTACGACTCAGCTGAGTCTCGAGAGTACGGCCGGCCCGTGTACTCTCCGCCGAGACCCGTGTACTCCCAGCCAAGGCGTGTGTACTCTTCTCCTGAGTCGGAGGAATCCTTGGAGATTCCTGTGTACTCTTCGGCCAGACCTATTTACGGGCCTCCAAGACCGACTTACGGCTGAAAGTACTTCTTTCTTCCAGCTGGTCTTGTCACATGACAAGTACTTAATGTTAACACGCTGATGCAATAGTCAGTCAATCACAACATTGAATTTTTTAATTATTATTGTTTTTCTAATTATACTACAATTGTATTATAGACACAGATATTAGCTTAATCGATTCGTAAACTAAATATATCGAGTCTAATTATACCTTGATTAATTGTTATCTCCTTGCTGGATTTTATATTGAGAATACACTAAATCGTAAACAATTTTAACCAAAGTTTTCTCTACTCATTGTAAAGTTCTTCTTCATTGACGACACAAAATTTTCAAGATAAAACAACTAAAATTTAATGGATGCATGAAACGAGTACTAATTCATTACGAAAGATTTTTGAGCAATAAAAAAAATAGGAAGAGAGAGAGAGAGAAAGAGAGAAGCGAAAAAGAAGGGGGGGGGAAGAGAGAAAGAGAGAGGGGGGAAAGAACAGGAAGAGAGAAGAGAGGGAGACCGAGGGAGAGAAGAGAGAGAGAGAGAGAGAGAAGAGAGAGAGAGAGAGAGAAGAGAGAGAGAGAGAGAGAGAGAGAGAGAGAGAGAGATAGAGAGAGAGAGAGAGAGAGAATAGAGAGAGTCGAGAGGGAGGAAGAGAGAAGGAGAGAGAGAGGAGAGAGGAGAGATTGAGAGAGAGAGAGAGAAGAGAGAGGGGGGGCGGGAGAGAGGGAGGAGGGGAGGGGGGGGGGAGGGGTGGGGAGGGAGGAGGGAGGGAGGGGGGGGAGTGAAAAGAGGAGAGAGGAGGAGAGGGATGGAGAAGGAGGAAGAGACAGGAGAGATGAGAGGGGTGGAAGATGAAGAGTAGAGGAGAGAGAGAGGAAGAGAGAGAGAGAGTAGGGAGAGAGAGAGAAGAGAGAGAAGAGAGAGAGAGAGAGGAGAGAGAGGAGAGAGGAGAGGAGAGAGAGAGAGAGAGAGTGAGAGAGAGATAGAGATAAGAGAAACAAGAAAGCGAGAGTGAGAGATAGATAGATAGATCCCGATAAGAGACAGAGAGATCGTGTGTCTGTGTATAGAAAAGAGAAAAAGAAAGCGAGAGGTGATTTACTAATATACTGTGAAAACAAAAATATTAGCAAAAACAAAATCAGAATATTGGTGACGATATATATTAGTAACAGTAGCAGTGCCCATTATAAGCGCAATTTATAATGTATGATTAGTAATGTAAGGTATGGCATATGATGATAATCTAATATTTAATGATAATACAGTACATAATCATGCTACATCAGGGAGAATGCAAATATGATGATAATGACTGGTATATACATATATCTTCACATGCATAATCTGATAATGGATAACACACGACAGATGGTAATAATTAGCATTGATAAACGACAGTGGGAGATGACAGTTATGATAAGATCTAATTTGCAATGATATTAAAGTTACATCTACTACTGATCTTAATAATAATTTGAACAATGACGGTGATAATGATAGAATAATAATAATATAGATAATGATAATGATAACTATGACAATAAAAGCATTGGTAATTGTTATCATCGTCACTATCATTCTCATTGGACATTATTATACATCTTAAAAATTTCTGCTGATATTTATGTAGCAATCCTATTATGGATCTACGGCAAATATTCATGACCATACAAGGGCAACTATGAATGGCCTGTTTTACAAATATTTTGATTTATTACGATGCTATCTTCCTGCTAATTCTAATGACTCCGTGAACGACAGTACAATCAATCTTACACACCAACACTACACGCACAACGACGACACACAACACACACAGCACACCATACATACAGAAAGAGAGAGAGGAGAGAGAGGAGAGAGAGAGAGAGAGAGAGAGAGAGAGAGAGAGAGAGAGAGAGAGAGAGAGAGAGAGAGAAGAGATAGAGAGAGAGAGAGAGAGAGAGAGAAGAGAGAGAAAGAGAGAGAAGAGAGAGAGAGAAGCAGAGAGAAAGAGAGAGAGAGAGAGAGAGAGAGAGAGAGAGAGAGAGAGGAGAGAAGAGAGAGAGAGAGAGAGAGAGAGAGAAGAGAGAAGAAAAGCAGAGAGAGAGATGCGTATAAATTATAATGTGTTCTATAAACCTTGATTTAAGTGACCCATTGCTAGAAGCCACAGAAATGTAATATTATATAGTAATAAAATGATGGAATGATTGTGATGATAATAGTGATGATAATGATCATACAAAATTTAATAACTACAACTACTACTAATAATGATAATTTTGATAAACGGTAATGATAATTATCATTGAGATGAATAGTTATGATTATGATGATAACGATAATTGAATGATAAAAATGATGTATGGATAATGATGATTGATTTATGATAATGATAATGACAATGATAATGATGATGAGGATGATCATAATATTAATGAAATAATAATAAAGACAACAACAATAACAATGATGATGAATAGTAACCAGAAAAAAAAACAATAATAAAAAACGACGTTGATAATAAAAAATAACTAAAATAATATTCTGAAAGTCCAACTCGACCAGAGCCAACCGACTACAGTCCGATCTCAGCGGCCGCTCTTAAGGATATATATTGAAAGGTCGTGATGGGGTCAGGCCATAAACAGCCCCCGGGGTCAGCTGGGTCGTGACGGCGCAGGTCGCAGGCTGACGGGGACGTGGCAGGCGGGAGGCAGGACCTTCGCCACTGGTATCGTTATCGGCTGTGAATTCGACGGCTTATCGGCTTCGGTATTTTATCGCTTTTATTCCTTATCATCTCGATACTTTTTTTTTTTTTTTTTTTTTTTTTTTTTGGTATTGGTTGGTGTGTTGTAGAGATAGATAGATAGATAGATAGATAGATAGATAGATAGAGAGAGAGAGAGAGAGAGAGAGAGAGAGAGAGAGAGAGAGAGAGAAGAAGAAGAGAAAGAGACAAAGAGAAAGAGAAAGAGAAGAGAAAGAGAAAGAGAGAGAGAGAGTGAGAAAGAGGAGAGAGAGAGAGAAGAGAGGAGGGGGGGGGGGGTAAGGAGGGAGGGAGAGAAGGGAGAAAGGATTGAAGGAGATGAGAGGGAGGGAGAAGGGAAAGAAGAAGATGGAGAAGGAGAGAGAGAGAGAGAGAGAGAGAGAGAAGAGAGAGAGAGAAGAGAGAGAGAAGAGAGAGAGAGAGAGAGAGAGAGAGAGAAAGAGAAAGAGAAAGAGAAAGAGAGAAGAGAAAGAGAAGAGAGGAAGAGAGAAGAACAGAAAGAGAGACAAAGAAACCAGAAAGAGAGAGAACGAAAACGAGAGATTCATAAAGAAAAGAGAGAGACAGATATCCATCCAACCGACACCTCGCCCACTACGCCCGCACGCCCTTCCTGATCCCGAGTCCTCCTTTCAGCCCGCCCACATCACGACCTGTCAGTGAGTGTATCCTCAAGGCGGCCGCCAGATACCTCCTGTCCTTCTTCTGGTGGAGGATCGTGGCTAATGACTGCACAGGAGGTCTCTTTCCTTCGCTTTCTCTGTCGTTTGTAGAATAATATAAAAAACATTAAATGATAAGAATTGAATGACAGAAGTCTAAACACATAAATACGTATTTGTGCGCGTGTGTGTAGAATACTGCATATATACACACAAACCCACAGGCACACAAACACAGAGAGGTAGATAGATAGGCAGATAAGTGTATATATGAATAGAAAGACAAACAGCAAGATAGATAAAAAGAAAGAAAAATAGATAGAGATAGATAGATAGATAGAGATAGAAGATAGATAGAATAGAGAGAGAGAGAGAGAGAGAGAAAGAGAGAGAGAGAGAGAGAGAGAGAGAGAGAGAGAGAGCACAGGCTGACAGACAAACAGGCCTACAGATGGACAGAGATGCATATAAATCATAACGTTTTCTACAAACCTTGCTTAAGTGACCTCCCTGGCAAGGAATCGGACTCAGGCAACCTGCGCTAAAAAAAAAAAAAAAAAAAAAAAAAAAAAAAAAAAAAAAGAAGAAAAAAAACAGAACTAAACCTCACTGTATGTCACTCCACTCACCTAAGCTCACCTTGAGGCCCTGTGACCTGATCTCTCCTACTTTTTATTCATGCATGTCCACTTTACGCCTTCTAAAAGCACACTGGATTTCATGCTCGCTTATTTACGAACATGTATTAACACAGAGGACACGCCTCTGTGGCGAATGTGGTTACACAGGGCACATTTAGGGCAGAGATGGTGAGAGAGGGCTGGGCACGTCCACGGTAGAGGTAGATATACAGGGTACAAGTATGGGAGAGTTAATGGTAATGGGCAAAATCTATGGTATCTATATAGCTTACGATAATAATAATAATAATTACAATGACAATAGGGAAGCCGACCCATAGGTTAATAATAATAATAATGATAATAAATAATGTAATAATAATAAATAATAAATAATAATAATAATAATAATAATAATAATAATAGTAATAATAATAATAATAATAATAATAATAATAATAATAATAATAATAATAATAATAATATAATAATAATAATAATAAATAATAATAATAATAATAATAATGATAATTGATAATAATAATAATAATAATATAATAATAATATAATAATAAAATAATAATAATAATAATATAATATGATAATAATAATAATAAATATAATAAATAATAATAATTAATTAATAATATAATAATAATAATAATAATAATAATAGTAATAATAATAAATAATAATAATAATAATAATAATAATTAATATAATATAATAATATAATAATAATAATAATAATAATAATAATGATAATAATAATAATAATAATAATAATAAATAAAGTAATAAAATAATAATAAAAAATAATAGTAAATAACAAAATAGTAAAATAATAATACATAATAATATCAACCCTCCCATGTACTCTCCCTTGGCGTGCTCATCCTCCCTGATCCTCGCACACCTTCACTCAGCTCCGTACTTTCCGCTGCTGCCGTTCACTCCTCCCTTTCCTTTCTCATTAGTGGTCGTGACAGGTTCCAAGTCTTTTCACAGTGGTATAGGACGTGTGGTAGCGGTAGCGGGCACGTCTGTGGCGGAGGTGGCTATACGTCTGGGGTAGAGATATGGTAGTGGGTAGGTTTCCAGAAGGGGTGTTTGAA